AGCTTCCCCGCCATTTAACTCAGACCGTCACTAATCCAGTGAAGACTAGAGAAGAGCAATGGGTGGAAAGGTGACTTCTCAAAAATCATTGTTTGCTTTTATGTTTTTAAGAAAAAATTAACTGAAATTTGTTGTTCTGAAATCAGATGAAACCCAACCAAAATCAGCAACAAAACAACAATCACGGGGGGAAGCAGCAGGCCAGCAATGAAAAGAAGAACGAACCAATTGTTTTGAAAGTATATATGCATTGTCAAGGATGCTCTACCAAGGTCTTCAACTCTCTCAAATGCTTTGATGGTACATATATTCAATCTTCCTCTCATATAATGTTGTGAATTTTCATTAAAACCTGTTCAAACAATTAATACTTCTACAAAAGTTTCAATTATATCAAATAGCTTATGAAATTCCTTATATTTTGACTGAGTATAGGTGTTGAGGAAGTTAACATTGATATGGCAAATCAGAAGGTGATTGTGAAGGGATCAAAGGCGGATCCATTGAAGGTTTTAGAAAGGGTTCGAAAGAAGTATAGTAGAAATGTGGAGCTTCTCAGTGCCAGACCCAACCCCAACACTAAAGCAGAAAAGAAAAAGGAACCGGAGAAGAAAGAAGAAGTATTTAATTTCTAAAATATTGCTTCACTTAATCTAAATTCTAAAAACCATCTCTTCGTATTCTACTTCCTATTTTTAACACTTTGTTGTCACTTTTATTTTGCAGCCTGTGAGACAAGCTGTATTCAAAATGTACATACACTGTGAAGGGTGTGCTAATGATGTCAAGACAAACATAGAAAATATGAAAGGTAGTTTATTCTTTCTTTCTTTTTTGTAAATTGAGTAAGAACTCAACGAACTTGAGTTGTGCCTTACATTAAAAAAAATGTATATACAGTAGTGTATAACAAACTTCTTAAATATAGTGGGATATAAGTAGAATATAAACTTACAAATAACAGAAAAGAATTTGACAAACCAATAAAATATTTGAATAACAAAAAGAGATAATGATGAAAAAAACTCAAAATTGAACTTTGAAAACTCAATATTTTTAAGCAATTTTTTCCTATTTACAAATGTTTAACAGAAAACGGAAAGCCAAGACTGCCTAGCAGCCCTGACTTTCTGCAACCCTAATGTTTAATTATAGAAAACAAAAAATAGTCCAAACTAAATTGTTTAGGGACATTTTAGTCATTCTGGTCTATAAAATTAAAATCTACAAAAATGTCATTAATAAAACTTGTATGATGGTAAATTATTGCCTGAATTGATGATTTTTTTAGGAAATGATTTAGAAACAATATTTTAATATTATTTTTTGGTATAATTGTACAAATTATTTAAATAATTGATTTTTTTATTCATTTAAAATTTATAATATTGAGTACATACACTCATGATATGTGAAAATTATATAAAAAAAATTATACAAAAAATTATTCTTAATCACTGCCTTTTTTTTCCAGTCCGAACGGATTTTCTCAATTATTTTAATTGTCTGTGGTTTTTTTTTTTTTTTTTTTTTTTTTTTGGTTAAAGGAATTTTAAGTGTTCAAGTAGATATGGAGAAGTCAATTGTGGTTGTTAGGGGAATTTTCGATCCAAAAAAAATTAGTGATATGATTGAAAGACGGATGCGAAAACATGTGGAGATTGTTCAGTCGAAGCAAGAATCAGAGCAAGGAAAAGGAAAGGAAAAAGATGAGAAGAGCAACGAAGACAAGAAGATCATTCACTTTAATTACCCACCCCAGTATTCGTCACATTATATTTATCCTTGTCAAATCTTAAGCGAAGAAAACATTTTTTCGTGCTCAATAATGTAAATAAATAGCCATTTTGATTGTATCTGTGATTTTTTAAATTAATAATGATTGATTTTTAACTTTAGCAATACATGATTGGAAGTAATAAGGTATAGTTCATGGTTTTTTTTTTTATTATTTTTTTCCCAACTAAAATTTCCAATTTAAATCTATTTCTAAAATTAAAAAAAAAAAAGAAGAAGAAGAAGAAGAAAAAACTATCTTGTAGTGGTTGATTTCCAGTTTTTGAAAAAAAAAGTTTATTATAACTAAGGATGTAGTTTTATATCATCTAAATAAATAAATTAATATATAATATTATAAATTTAAAAAAATTTAAAAAAGAAGAAGAAGAAGAAGAAAAAACTAT